AAAAATATTGACAGCTCGGTCCCAAGGTGAGGTCGACTCTCTGAACTTTTGCGCTCCGTCAGAGGTCCCTCGACTTAGGGTTCAGAGTCTGCAGATTCTGCAGGCAGAGTCCTCTCCGGATTTTTTGAGAGGCCTTTTGAAGGAATCTGTCTGACAACTCTGTATCATTTTTTTGAGTTTCAATTCGAAAGTCAGTGGAGCAGAGCCTCACTCTCTGATGGAAAGTAAGTGGAGAAGAGCTTCACTCTCTAAACACACGGAATTGAGAGTAATGGAGCGGGATCCAATGTATCGCCGCTGCAGGCCAAGGATGTAAGGGAAAAGCATTTCGTAAGGGGGGGGGGAGGAAACAAAACAAAAAACAGCTGTCTTCAAAACGAGACTAAGTTTAAGTGGAAGCACGCTACCCGCTACCCTTAGAGTAGCCTGAGCCTAGCTGTGAAGAAGAGTGAGGCTTTATGATTCCGTTGCATTCAATCCGGGAACAGATGGGACATACGGACCCCTTGAAACATGCTCTCCACCCCCACCCCCACCCCCACCACCTGCATCATCCTCCAAGGGCGCCATCCCTTCCTTTCCCCCGTGCCCATCTGGTTCCTGATTGCCCCTGCATGGCCCGGACTCGTCGAATTAAACCACCAGTACTTCTGAGGCACTTTTCTCTGGGGCTGGAAATCCCCTGCGCGCCCAAAAAAAACGAACTGGCGCAGGCCTCCCTTTGGCTGGAGCCGCCGACTGAAAACCATTTTGCCCTGGAGGCCTAGCCCCAAAAGTCGCAGCAGCATGCAAGCGCAAGGAAAATGAGCAAGAGTGATAGACAGAAAACCAAATTGCAAGATCACATTGAACTTGATTGAAGACCAGATAGACAGAAAACCAAAGTGCAAGGAAAATAAGCACCGAGTTACAAGCCAAATAAGAGCAATGCAATGAACTCAAATGACAATAACAGCCCCTTCTCACCACCACCGACAAAGTATCCAATGTCGCTCTTCTTCATTGGCGATCAGCACCTAGCCTATACTACTCAGCACCTAAACTAGCCAACACTACGACATGCAACATGAATCACTTCTAGCCGAAGACCAATGTACATGACGAAGTTGCCTATGCAGACCGCCGCATACATTAGGTACGTGTCTCTCCACTCTCTCTCTCTCATCTCCTCCTCACCCACAGTGTGTGTCCCTTACCCGAAGACACCATCACCATCACCAGCCAACTTGCGAATAGGCCCGGCTATGGCTGCTCGCGCCCGCTGCCCAGCAGCGCCCCTCACCTCTGTGCGCCCGTGTGCGCTGTGGCAGCGCGCCTCAAGCAGCCTCAGCGCTGTAAACCAGCAGTGTGGCCGCGAGGTTGCCTCCTGCCAGAATGCCTGGCTGGGGGAAGGGCACTTTCCTTCGGGCAGTAGCTTCCAGTCGGGCAAAGTGTCTGTGCCCAGGCCCAGTTTCAGTGCCCTGGGGGCAGTAGCTTCCAGGCGGGCAAAGTGGCTGTGCCCAGGCCCAGTTTCAGATACGGCCTGGGACTGCAGCAATTAGGCTCGGCCAACTGTGCAACGTGGCTGCTGCTGCCCTACATCCTGATTGGCCGAAAGGCCTCATTCCACATCGCTGCCTTGGAGAGCCCGGAAGTCTCACGTTGTCCTGCTCCCACAGGTGTAGGCCCCAACCAACTGGCACCTTGTAACTGTCTGGCGCCCCCAAAGGAGAAAGGCGGGCACAATGCTTGCTGGGGACCCCTCGGGTGTCTGCTGATGAGGCCAAATGGCCTTGCAAGGGGCTCATTTGCAACGACTTGCTGGTTTCAGTGGCCTGTAGCGTATCTCATCGAGGCTGTACCATAGGTAGGTCAGATTCGTAATTTTGTTTGGCTGAGGACTAACCGTGACAGCTGACTGTGAGGAAATTCATGAGGGACATATCTGCAAATTCGGGAGAATACAGGCCCGTACTAACTGGGATTCCCCACAGCTACCTTATCTGCGAATAGGAGGCCCGGGCTACCCCTAGGACAGACAAACCCTAAAGGCCTGTGCTGATAGACGGTCCTATAGCCTATAGCCGGGTAGGTAGAGGCCGAGAGGCCAAAACTGAAACGGTACCCGTCGGTCCAGTCTGTCCGGTCTAGGTCGTGTCTAGGCTAGTGTAGTCTATAGATAGATGGTAGACATATGTTTGGGGGCTTTTGGCAGTTGGTACCGTGTACATCGCTGCTGCGCAACGCATGAACTGGAGTGGTGACAGCTTCAGCGTTGGAGGAGACAGACATAGCCGGACCTGCGGAGCGTCGGCCATAGCTGGGACCTGAGCCATAGCTGGGACCTATGCTGTACTCTGACCGCACGCGGGGCTGTTCAGAGGTCCGGGCTATCTGAAGTCTGCTGGAGGCGAGAGAAGTTGGTGCCCTGCTGGACCCTCCTCAGGAGTAGGGTTTCTGGGTGTTTGGCACTGCAGCCATAGCTGCTGCTTTCTTCTTCAGAGAGCATCTTTGTCAGGAGAGGTGGCTCTGCTACAGACTTCCACCCGGGAAGTTTTCTGGCACTTCATCATCATCAGACACTGTGGTGCTGGTCTTCTTCTCCATCCTCTGAGAGGTGCTTGTCCTCGGAGGCCTGTTTCAGGGTGGCGCTTCCCTCTGGAGGCAGTATCTGGGTGGCGCTTGATGTTTCAGGGACTCAGGGGTAGTTCTAGCGGTTATTCAGGGTTGGGGAGTGAAGCGCTGCTCACATTTTGAGCAGCGCACCATGGTTCTGGGGTTATCCTGACATTTTGAGACTCTGAGTTTAATAAACAGTGTTTGTTTTTTGTTTTTTTTTGGCCATGCTAATCTTCTCTGTATCGTTCCAATTTTAACGGATGTCCCGAAGGACAATAAACAGTGTTTGTACTGTGTGTGAACTATCATTTCTTCATTGTTTCCTGGATGTGATCCGCTCGGCTTTCCTTTGTGACTGGTTGTGAGGAATCTGTGGAGCGAATTGCACTTTCAGTGTTTTCCGTCATATCACATGATCAAATCTTCCGCTGTGTTTATCTCTCCCTGTGTGGTGTGATACTCCCATCCTCTCCCCTTCCTTCTGTGTATGTATGGGCATTGGGCATACCTGGAAGTCTATGTGTGCGAGTGTTGGTCTTCTGATAACAAACAACCAGGATCATAACACATTCCTCGCAGAAGCCGAGACTACGAAAAAACGGCTGGGAAATGTACTGGTGGTTTGAATGTGACAAACTGCATCATTCATTCATTCATTATTTATTTATTTATTGAATTCATTCCCCTCCTGACAAACTGCATACTGATTGCCAGGAACGGATACAGTTGAAGATGCACTCGCTTGCATATGTTCAGCATGCGTCGCCACTTGCAGGTTCTGCTCTTCACGTTGATGGGGAGGTACGTACAATGGAAAGAGAACGGAAAAAAAGAGAAACAGAAAGAAAAGGGGAAAACACATGCCACCACATTTCTTGAGAGTTGAAAATGTCTCTCTTTCCCCCATCTCTCTCTCTCTCTCTCTCTCTCTCTCTCTCTCTCTCTCTCTCTCTCTCTCTCTCTCTCTCTCTCTCTCTCNCCCTTGGAACTATAAGTCCACTGCTCGAATTTAGACCAGTACAAGTAAGAGGCGTCTGTATCATATTTAGTTCCGATAGTAAGCTAAGCTGGGGCCTGTCTCTTATACACATCTAGATGTGTATAAGAGACAGCACGCAGACACGACCCTCAACAGGCAGCAAGTCCCCACCCACAAAGGTCTGCCACGGCCAAAAATGACACCGCTGCCACTAAACACATAGTTCTGCCCTCCAGTGACAGCCCCGACCACTCCCTCGAGACCTAGCTGGCAGACCGTTGTGGAGAGCCAGCAAAGCTGTGCCTATGTATTGTCACAGAGAACTGCCTCGGGAATCGTACATATGCAGAAAGGGAGAAAAGGACAAAAAACAGGGGGGGTTGTGACTGGATATGGAACTCCCACGATGAAACCGCCCGGGTTGCAAGAGCCCCAATAACCAAGATTCTCCGTTTCTGGCCGTTGATCTTCCTAATCAACACGGTGAGAAACAAAGAATCTGCGGTAAATGGGATCTGTGTGGAGTATTGTTTTCTGCTGTTGTGAAACTGGTTCCAGAATATTGAGCGGGTTGTGGAAATTTTATCGAACGGTAAAAAGGGTGGCCTGATGGAGGTTAATTGAAGACACATGTTGTTGATCTGTGTGTATTACTCGTTTTATGATGGGGATGTTCGGTGTGGCCACACTCTTTCATTCCTGTACATGAGCAACTTGCAAAATTGTGAAAAGGGGCTCAACCTGTCTGATCTTCTTCAATACCCAAGAGAAGGCTCAAGGTGCAATTACTCCAACTTTTCTGCCATCTTGTTCTTGAAGCTTCTTGCTCAGAGCCTCTGTTTTTCAGACTGTCTGTCTGTCGGTCAGTCGGTCGGTCTGTCGGTCTGTCGGTCGGTCTGTCGGTCGGTCGGTGTCGGTCGGTCGCTCGCTCGCTCGCTCGCTCGGTCAGTCGGTCTGTCAGTCGGTCGGTTCCCTGTTTGTTTTGCAAAATTTGATGCAAGGGAGGGGAGGGGGGGGGGGAAGACCTAACTTGTTGATCGTGGAACTTCGTGCAGCTGCGACTGCGTCAAGCAAGCCCAGTGAGATATGATTTTGTGCGCTCAATCTACCTTGTACCGCCCATCATGAATATTGATATCGATCTCCCAGTTGGAAACATGTAAGTGAATCTCTAAAGTCGAAAAATATTAAATACTAAATCAATTTTAAAAAAGAAATAAAAAGTATTCCATACAAGCTACAAAATAAATTAAAAGAAGTACGTAGTACAACTATTTACAAAATTAATCACAATACTAAATACTAAATCATTTGAAAATTGAACTAAAGTTAACATACTAAATAGTAAATACTAAATAGTAAATACTAAATAGTAAATACTAAATAGTAAATACTAAATAGTAAATACTATGTACAAAATTAAATTAATAAATACTTAATCAACTGCAAGTAGTGAGTTTTTAACCTGGGCTAGTAGGGCTACCAACCGGGCCTCGAGGGTCAGCTTGATTGCCCGGACGGCCCAGCCGGGCAAGGGTCAGGGAAAATCCCTAAAAAAAGAAAAAAGAAAAAGAAAACAAAACATCCAAAAGATCCGGAAAAAAAACACTATGTTATGCATAAAAATAAACTGAAAAACGTTTGCCTCATTATCACATGGAAATTCTTTGTCAATTTACAAATAAAAATATGCTTATTTATTCATTTTTTCTTTCGAGGCTTTTCTGAACCACATGCTCCACTCTACACTCTATTGGTGGCGTGCGAAGACTGCTGGAAACCGGGTACAGTGTCCCATGAAAATACAATGATTACTGAGGGGATACAAGTCCCCCCCCTCTCAGTTTTGCCCTCTCAGATTTGTGAGGGAGAGAGACAGAGTTGGTTCCGTACTGTTGGCAACCAGTTGTTGATTCACTCCCTGGACTTAGTAGCCCTTTTTTTTTAACCACAAATTAACTGAAAAAGCAGCAGCAGCAGTCTGACCTCAGGAGTGTTTTGTTTGCCTTGCAAGGAAGGAAGAGAACTGGTTGAGAGAGAGAGAGAGAGAGAGAGAGAGAGAGAGAGNGAGAGAGAGAGAGAGAGAGAGAGAGAGAGAGAGAGAGAGAGAGAGAGAGAGAGAGAGAGAGAGAGAGAGAGAGAGAGAGAGAGAGAGAGGAGTTAAAACCAGAGGGAAGAAAAGGGGAGGAAAAAAAAAGAGGAGTATGTTGTCTGACTATTTCCAATGAATATCGGATGGAAGCGTTTTGAAATTTTTGATTCCTTGTGAAGGAATAATAAGCATATGTGATGGTTGAATCAAATTGAATGAATAAACAAGGTAGAACAACTTCAAGTTGAAGTTGGTTTTGACTATTGAGTTAAACAATGAGCTCATGCCATTGTGAATGGTTGTGATGGTTGGCGGTTTGGCATGCAATTATGTGGTGTGGATAACGTCCGTCCTTCTAAACTGGTGGAAAGCAGCACACTCATGCGATTGGACGATATCTTACGTAGATATTCTGACAGGAATGGTGAGTCCTTCCTGACCTGCATTTTCATGGCTCCGATTATCGACTCCCTGCTGCTCTGCTGGTATTTTTCCCGCTTTACACAAGTATCCCTTCCCACTCAATGATACCCATAAAGGACATCCAGCAGAATTGGAAAGAATGATACAAAGAAGATTAGTGTCGCTTCTACACAAGAATGACATGCACAATTAGAGAAATGGCCCATAAGAAGAAGAAGAAGAAGAAGAAGAAGAAGAAGAAGAAGAAGAAGAAGAGGAGGAGGACGAGGAGGAGGAAGAGGACGAGGAGGAAGAAGAAGGAGGAGGAGGAGGAGGAGGAGGAGGAGGAGGAGGAGGATTTATGTTTTTTAACAAAGGAAAAAGAGAAAAAAGACTGTGTTGTTCTGAATCTTACTGTTGTCTATCAAATCCATCTTCTTCTCTTATGTATCTGCTATGGCCACTTACATAGCAGATGGATGCAAGACTGACTACACCTTCACAAATAGGACAGGTTTTTATCTATGTTACGATCCTGGCCAATTTCGAAGAACACATTCATCAGAAAGCACAATGCCATCCAATTGCAAAAAGAAATGAATGAGCTTGAGAGGAGAGAGAGGTGAAGAAGAAGAAGAAGAAGAAGAAGAAGAAGAAGAAGAAGAAGAAGAAGAAGAAGAAGAAAGAAAGAAGAAGAAGCTGATGTACCCCAGCATAGACCAATGACAATGCTCTTCTTCTTCGCCAACCACTTTCCTCCTCCTTATCTCGTCCCCTCTTATTCAAACAAGAAATAACAATAATAATGTTGAATGGCTGAACCAGAATCAATGTCAGAATCCCTCTTCTACTGCAGGCACAACATGAGGTCCACCATAGCCATGACCGTCCTTCCTCTACCTCCTCATGTGGGCCGAGGCTATGGCGGACTACCGAGGGCTCTGCCCTCCTGTCCACAGGACAACCTGAAGCAGCTATGTCACTGCTCATTAAACCGTCATGCCTGACTCTGCCCCGAGCTTCCTAGGTGCGGCACTACCCCAACTGGGGCCTTCCAGATTCAGCACCTAACGAGGTGATGAATATGGTGTCCACCATAGCCAGGTAGGTACCTCGCCATTCCCCTCCTCAGTCCTCTTCTTCCTCCTCCTCCTACCGGTAGAGCTCCACCATAGCCGAGGTGGAAGCTCCCGGTCTTCTTCCTCCCAGCAGTGCTGTAGTACCCAGCGCTCCTCCTGCCAGCGCTCCAGCAGTGTGTCGCCAAACTTGCACACCGAAGAATGAGGCTGGGCTCGTCGCTCAGGCTCAAGATATAGCGGCCTACTTGCCTCCTGGGCGGTGACTTCCAGGCCGCTCAACCTCCCAAGCAACTGGTACCTCCTCCCTTTCGGAGGGAAACATCACTGACTCAGACTGGATGGACTGGTACCCGCCTAGACCTAGCCTACCGCTACTGGGCCTCTAAAAATGCCAACTTTGTCTTCTTCTGCTCGGCCTCGAGTACCCGGCACATCTACTTCTACTGGGTGCGGTACCGGCCTACCTGCTACCTCTGCTCCTTCAAGTGCCGCGGGCCTCTTGCTCCACCACTTGAGTGTTTTGCCCGCTGCAACCCTCAATATCATGGCCACAGGTAAGTACCGGCCCTACAGGCCTCCCAAACAAGCAAGTACCCTTGCGGGTCACACACACACCCATGCCGACAAGCACTCAGACAGGCACGCAGGTCACCAAGCATGCACACACACACAGACTTAGAAAACTCAGCAGAATGTGGGAATCTCAGCAAGGCATCCATTCCATCGGCAGAACTCAGAAATCAGCAGTGTTCTCAGTCTGTGTTATGGCGGGTCATTGCATCTATTTATTTATTTCTGTGCAGGTCCATCGCCCTGCAAATCTGTCGTATTCAGAGCACACAAATAAGCAAGGAAGGTAACGAACGAACGAGAGAGAGAGAGAGAGAGAGAGAGAGAGAGAGAGAGAGAGAGNAGAGAGAGAGAGAGAGAGAGAGAGAGAGAGAGAGAGAGAGAGAGAGAGAGAGAGAGAGAGAGAGAGAGAGAGGAAAAGGCGGCAGTAACCAAGCAAGACCTGAATAAAGTTAACAAATGCAGCACTGCTTTGAGGTTGCATGGCATGCATGAAATGCACAGAAGATTTTTTGTCTGACCCTTTTTCTGACAGACTGCTGAACATTCTTCTGGCTCATTTATCCTATTATGGGGTGCAGAGACAACAATATACAGCAACCAACATGCAGTTTGGGAGGCAGGGGCAGGCCCTGACTTCCTTGTTTCTGTTCGAGTTCGGGTGCCACCATCCGAGACTATAATGTATCCTTCACTTAAAATGCGAAAAGTACTTTTCTTCCTTTCCTTGTTTATTGTTGATAACTGGTTAACCCTCCAGCACCTTTTGCCAGCCATTGTCTTCCTCTCTCTTCTTTTTTTTTTTTTTTTTTTTTTTTTCCCTTTTCCTTTCCTACTGGTTTGTATACAACTGCAATTTTCCGGGTCTCAGTTCGCCAGACCTCTGCCAGCCAAAAGGGAAAAAGTTTGTGCCGCGCCTGTTCATTTTTGATTTGGTGTGTAGCACAAATCTGGGTCAGGAAAAAGAGGCTGAGGGGTACTGGTGGGCGAGAGTAACACGTAACTAGAGCTGGGTAACAGTTCCATTATTCTTTTGTTTTGTAATAAGAAAAAAAGCGATGGAAAAGCTATCACAGTGAGAATGCACCTGAACGTGCGGATCCCCAAGTGCATAACCTACACCTAGAGCCAAGTCCCACTTGCGGAAATTCTTCATTTCTGACCGTCGATCTCTGCAATCTAGGGTCGGAAACAAAGGATGCGGGTACTAATTGGTACCTGATCCCCTGGAGTCCATGCAGATACGCAGGCTCACTCTGACTAGGCTAGTTTCGTAGTTTGCAATATTGATGGACACATTGGATGGGTTATTTCTGTCCCTGATCAGGGGGGAGGGGGAGAGAAGGGGGGAGAAGGGGGGAGAAGGGGGGAGAAGGTAAGAAGGCAGTGGCGCCACTGCGGCGGCACTTGCTGGCTCAGTGCAGAGATGGAGCATGACAACTCTAGGGGCAGTGCTGACCAGGGGTGGGGCTGCACTTGTGCAAAGCACTGAGACCCGCAGAAGGACTGAGGGTCAATAGGCCCTGACATGGCTGGTCCTGGAAAGGGCCAAGCCGATGTGACAAAGGAAAGGCGGGGCCAGACCCGGTATAGCCCAGAAACGTCTGGACCCTCCCAACCAAAAGGTAGGACCCAGGTCAGTCTGGGACTGGTGTGTACCTTAGCTTCAAGTGCCTGTCGAACGCTGGGGTAGCCAACGACATTCATTCTGTCTACCTTTCAGCAATGAGGCTGTTGAAGCCTGCAAAGGAAAGCAGCACCAGCCAGCTATAGCTGAGCGCTCAGACAGACCGACCAACCGACCGACCGACCGGCCCCAGCCAGCCTGATCCTCGTCAGGCAGGCAGGCCGGCAGGCAGGCAGACAGACAGACAGATGTAGATGGATGTACGGAGGGACAGAGGGACAGAGGGACGGAGGGACGCAGGGATGGAGGGACGGAGGGACGGAGGGAGGGTGTTACATGCTGCGCCTGCAACAGGCTGCACGGGCCATTTTCAGGCCCGTGACATTTTCAGACCAAAATCCTGAAAACAAGGGCCTACAGGCCCTGTGTCGTTTCAGCCTGAAAGCCTGAAAACAAGGGCCTACAGGCCCTGTGTCGTTTCAGCCTAAATCAGGGCCTTTTCAGCCTGCAACTGAGGGCCATTTTCAGGCCCTCATCAGGTCGACCCGCCCTGAAACTCAGGCACCGAACCAGGGTTTTAGCACAGGCCATTTTGGGCCTGTTTTCAAGACAACCCCTGGTTGAGCTTCAAAGCCAGGGTCTGGCACGTTTCGGCATTGGCAAGAGCAGCCTCCTGGACGGGCCAGCACTATATCGGACTGGCCCGCCCTGCAGGCAGGTAGGTGATTCCTAGGTACTTCCCAGGCACTTCACGTGCAGGTCAGGAGGCAGGAGTTAGTCTTCAGGATTCGGCAGCAGCACTCTGGAGGAGCGCTGCAGGAGCAGTAGTAGCGCTAGCAGTAGTCTTCAGCGCTGGGCGCTCTTAAGAGCTAGAGTAGTACTAGAGAGAGAGAGATTGGGCGGAGGCCAGGGATACTTACCTGCAGCGCCATAGCTCCAGCTTCGCCTTCGAGGTACCTGCAGCACAGCGCCAACTTCACAGGTTAGTACCTGGCACGTGAGAGAGAGAGAGAGAGCTCTTCTTCCTTCTCTTCTCAGTCCACCATCTCCCTCTCACCCTCTCGCTACCTGACTTCACTGCATCAGCAGACTACGAGAGAAAGAGAGAGCTTGGTGACATTTGGATCCAGACCTGACATTTGGGCTTCAGACATTTTGACAAGGGATTATTTGGGACTTGTAACAACGACTTGGTGTTGACGACATTCCCATCTCTCCCCCCTCTTCTTCGTCTGTTCCCCTCCTCTTCGTCTGTGCATGATCTGGGCCTGGCGCCTTCTTCCTGTGTATAGCGCCAGGTCCCTTCACACCTTGTGGTGAGGATGATGTATGTTTGGTCTGCGTTGCAACATTGATTGGGCTAGTCATTGGTATTCTAGCATTCTGCTGCGCTGTCTTACACTACGTGATAGAGGTCAGTCCCGGTCAGGTCAGGACTTGTATCTAAGTCTTCCCCTGCGCTATAAAGCACCATTTTTGTATGTATCCGAATGTACACTGCTTGTTGAGATTTCACTTGCACTGCATTGTCCATTCAGTCCTTTTTATCACATTGCGGATCCTCGGTTTTATATGTACATCGCCCAACTGGGCATGTAACAGAGGGAGGGACGGATGGATGGATGGCGCTAGGGCCATTTTTCTCTGGCAGTCGAGACCCAAAAGTTGCACCATCATACAAGCTGCGACTTCGAGAAAATGGCTGGGAAACGCACTGGTGGTTCAAAAGAAAAGGTGGTCCCACGCCTTCTCTAGGTTGGTGGAAAAATGTGACCATGGCTTGTTTTGTTCTGATTCAGGGGTAGTGAGTGGTTCAATCGTACGGGTGTCTGCCCAAAGTTTGGACCATGGATGTTCCATTACTGGGGCAGTTTCCTTAAGTTGGCATCTTCATCCCCCTGCAGTGTTGCACATAGCGATTTTTACAATGCCGACCCATCACCAGCCCATGTGGGGGACTGGCAAAACAGCATTCCAGCTATTATCGCTCGCCGTGCTTAGCATTCCTGCTCTTTTTCCAGGCAGTCGGGCTCAGCCCTAATGGTCCAGGCCTCATTAGCCCCTTGAAACCAACCCCCATTTTGAGCGGAATGTCACTTGATGGTGTGTCCCTAAAACAGGAAGCAGCTCCTTCGACTCCAGGGGCGGAGGGAGAGAACAAGGCCCTTGCCCCACCACTTACCACAACGGTCTTCAGTGAATAATGCCACCACTTACCACCACTCACCATGGCCATAGGGTGAAAAGTTCTTTTGCGGTAACTCAGGCGTGGTGAGTACTTGCCGTGCTTCCCTTTTTCGCCACCTGCGACGGCAGGGTTGTGACACTTCCTCTCGGCTGCCCACCAAAAGTGGTGAATAGCTCACTCAATGTCCCGACAGGTCCCAGCCAGCCCGATCCTCGTCTTGTAGCACTCAACCTTGCAGTGAATGCTTAAGGGTGGTGAGTGTTGCACCCCTTTTTGGTGAGAAAAGTCCCGCGGTGAGTACTCACCATGGACCAGAAGCAGAAAGTCATGGGCCCGGTGGATCCCAGAGAGGCACAACGTTGTCTTGTAGCACTCAACTTTGTGGTGAGTGGTGGACTGCTCTTTGGTGAATCCGGCCTCTACAACAACCTGGGCTTAAAATAAATAAATAAATAAATATATAAATAAATAAATAAATAAATAAAAATGATGCGCACAAGGAGATCTTAGCCATGGCATCGATAGCTGAGAAAGGTACTGGCGGTTTAATCACTACGGGAAGGTGAGGCGATCAGTGCAACTCTAGTGTGCTATGGAACAGTGCCGCACTTGGGTTTTGATTTTGAGTGCAGTGCAGTGTAATGGAAGGAGGCCCTTGGAGAATCCTGTCCGTAGAAGAAATGGATCTGCTTTGGGGTCTGCAGAAAGGGATCTGCTTCGTGATCGGAGAGAAGCATGGACGTAGAAGTAATGGATCTGGTTTGGGGTCTGCAGAAAGGGATCTGCTTTGTGATCGGAGAGAAGCACAAAAACCACCGCCGTTGCCGGGGATCGAACCCGGGTCTCCTGCGTGACAGGCAGGGATACTTACCACTATACTACAACGACTTGATGTTCAATGTATTAGGCGTTATTTCCTTAGTGCTTTATAAGCGGCAGGGAGACAACAAAAGCTATATTCGCAGGGGTCTACAACGACTTGATGTTTGATGAGTTAGGCGTTATTTCCTTAGTGCCTGATAAGAGGCAGGGAGACAACAAAAGCTATATTCGCAGGGGTCCCCTGTATAAGCCCCCTGTATAAGCCTTAAAGGAGTAGTGATAGGTGGGTAGGTGGTGAAGGTGAATTACCGAAGAACCATCAACGTCGAAGACAAGAGCTCATGATTAAATTTAAAAAAAAAAAAAAAAAAGTTCATGATTTCTTCCGGTTGCGAGAGGCAGCCTATAATAATATTGCGGTAGACAGGTGGTCTAAATGTCCGCAGGAGGACGGCAGTAGGGGAATTGGGCAACACGGAGGGAGTGTGGTAGACAGAAGGTGTCGAGTTAGACTCCAGGGCCTCCAATTAGGTAGGAAGGTAGAATTAGGAACCCTTTAGTACCTGTTAGCCCCTTGGAACTATAAGTCCACTGCTCGAATTTAGACCAGTACAAGTAAGAGGCGTCTGTATCATATTTAGTTCCGATAGTAAGCTAAGCTGGGGCAAGGTCCCACTTGCGCAAATTAGAAGATTTCGGCCGTTGATCTTTGCTATCTACGGTCAGTATCTCTTAATTCGTGCAAGTGGGACCTAGCCCCTGGATGATGCTTCCAGTAATGTGCATCCGGGAGTAATGTAGAGGTCCCCGGCCTCTGATTGAATTTTGAAAAGAATTTTTTTTTTTTTTTCCCCAAAAAAAGGCTAATTCTTTAAGCCCAACCAATTCAATTACCTGTCAAATCTGGACAGGACGGCCTTTCAGGCCTTTTTTATTGTCATTATAGTATTACGGGGAACCCCGTAGCAGCCACATCCGTGCTCAAGCCTCCAACGAGGGAACATGCGGGAGCTGCACCCACCAGCAGGTGCGATACCTGCTACAGCAGGTGGGCGATACCGGCCAGGGGTCAGCCGGTAGCATCAGGACCGAGCTTCTTCGATGGGCCAGTCACTGTGCCTCCCCTCCGGTCCCCTCCCCCTATGAACATCAGCAGTCTCTGCTCAATGCCACTCGGGGGGACCAACGGCATATCTCTAGGTGGCGGGCGCCAAGCTTGCCCAGGAAGGTGCATGAGGCCAATGGGGATTGAACCCAAGACCTCCTGAATGCCACTTGCGTGCCTTACCAACTGAGCTAGGCCGCTGGATAATTTTGAAAAGAATTTGAGTTGGGATTAAAAAAATAAAAAAATAAAAAATAAAATAAAATAAAATAGTAATAATAATATTGCGGATCATCAGAATGACGGTTACGTAAAAGAAAAGAAAAGACATGTATTCGATGGTCTTGCCGGCGGCGCTAGCACTAGCGCTCTTGAGCGTTAGCGCTGGCACCCGCAAATTTTTTATCTGAGCGAGCGCCTGGGCTTTGGGGGATCGCATACGGGCAGCTGCGATTGATGCTGCGTGGTGCCAGAAGCTACGGTCGGGGTGGCGGAGGTGGACGGGAAGAAGAAGCGCAAGGGCGCAGGGTGGGGACCGCCTCAAGGAAGCACTGACATGCTTCTGCCATAGCCTGGTCCCGGTTGGTGTAAGCTAGCATTCCTGGAGAGACTACGTGAGGAAGGAGGAGATGTGTGGTGGTCTGAAGGGCGGGATCTGGGCACCGTACATATCAGTATGTGAAACCTGTCAGAGATTCCGTCCCCTGACTTTGATACGGAGCTGAGAGACGTGTGTGCATCGACAAGCGCCGGCTTCCGGGAGAGCTACACTAGAGCTTGGCGGTGACCGGTATCGCCCACCATCGCTGACAACGGGCTTTAAGCTGCGATCTGCGTCGCTTTGTGTTGCTGATAATTCCTACTTCGGGCGTGGTGTGCCCTGAGATCTCTTCGTCTTTATTTGTTTTTGTTTTTGTGTATATTAGGACGGATAATTGGCTTGCGTTTTACTTACTCTTGGGTAGAATTCCGTTCGTTTCTTTGTGTAGCTTGGGCTGGTGGTGTAGATCTTTCGGTAGTGTTTATTTTTCGATGGTGTCAGTCGTCATTGTTAGGGTTATTTGCGTTAATTAGTGCTAAAGATCTTTCTAGGGTAGAGTGGAGTGTGACTTAGCCGCGGTGGGGTTGATCCGGGCCGGTGAGCCTGGTTCATCGCCGCAGGCCGTGGTTATTACTGGGCCCGTTTCCCAGCTTGTGACAATATAATATACTCTTTTTTGGTAAAAAAAAAAGAAAAAGAATGACCGTTAAGTTTTGTTTGTCGTTTTCCAAGCGTGTTCATTTTTATTTTATATTTTTATTTTTTCCGAATGCGGACCTTGTGGCCTCGCCACAAGGCACACGGACGGGAAAAAAAAAACCAGCGCGTCTGCCTCGAGAAACCGGCAAGATACATTCGTTGTTATTCGTAGCAAGGATGAACTTCCCAGCTTCTGGGGTAAGATGCACTCGTTTCCCTCGGTTTCATGTCTGCGGCGAGGCCCCTCCACTCGTACAACCGGCCTCGCCGCAGCGCTGACCAAATTTGCAAAAATCAGAATGAATCTTCTGCCAAAGATGGGAAGATGCACGGCCATAATTTTGGCCTTCTGTGCATTTCGTGAGTGCTGCGGCGAGGCCATACTTATTGTGACTGTAACGGTACAGTATAGTTTGTTGATGAAAACTTTGCGTTCCCCTGCAACTCCCCCGCTGCCCCTTCTCTCCCCTCTGGCCCCCCTCTCTCCAACGGTAGCAAATCCCCTGCTGGAATTGGGGGTGATTCCGGATATGGCGCATGCAGCAGCAGTGTTAGATGCCGCGACCGCGACATCCCTCGCTGCTACCAGTCCATCGGTGGCCAACTACCGGTCATCCAGGGGCAACTACTACCGGTCGTCCACGAGGCTCCTGAGCCCATCCGTCGGTTCCGGCAGGGGGCTGCAACCAGGGGAGGAGTTGCCGTTCCTCCTGCCCGCTGCCTCTCTGGCAATTCCTGCCAGGAACGGTTGCAGCGGCGGCGGCCGCGGCATAGCTGGAGGCCAACCACAGCAGCGACGGCGATGGCGACGAAGTCGAGGTGGACGACGACAGCAGCGGCAGCAGCAGCAGGAGGAGGAGGAGGAGGAGGAGGAGCCGCTGCAAGAACAATTATGCTGCCGGACTACTGGTAGGCTGTGGCCGTGGCTCTTCCAGGGAAGGTCGGTAAAGCGCCCCAAGCGCCAGCCAATCAAGCCGTTGGCGCGCTTTACCGACGTCGTCCGGGCGGCGTGCAGCAGCAGCCAATGGCCGCAACGGTACCTGGCGCCCACGTTAACGATGTCGACAGCAGGGTCGTTTCGTGCGACGAGTGCGGCGAGCGCCTGCGCAAGGCGGCGGCGACCCTCCTTGTCGTTCTTGTTGCACAAGGTACGACCGGTAGGCTGGTTGCCTGTAATATATCCGGACCGACGGGTTAGTTGCTCGTCGCACATCCTGGGGCAGCAGTCTGTGCGGCAGCACAGGTCGCCATTGGCAGGTAGAGTGCTCCGGCAGCGAGGCGGCTGCTGCTGCTGCTGCTATGCCCACGTGCCAGGCTGCGCAGGAGGCACGTCGATCCCGTGGCCTGGTCGCTGGTCGGGGCGGCAATCGCTCGCGGTCAGTCCCCGACGGGACGCATCTCCTCGTCTAGCCGATGGTCCTCATTTCGCGATAAGAAGAAAGAGAAGAAAGACTCCTGGGCAACTGCCTCCTGCGGCCGCCGGCGGCGGCGGCGGCGGCGGAGGGGGCGGAGGGGGCGGAGGGGGCGGTGGCGGCGCAGTGCAGCTGCAGGAAGAAGAGCAACCACGTGTTAGCTTCTACTTCGATATTGTCGACGCGGGTGCGGACGAGCGTGAGCTTCTTCAAGCGGCGGCGCATTTGCGGTCCCTAAGCTTCTATAGCTATCCCAGCGACCGGTCGCGGCTCGCTGCAGAGCAGCACCGGCAGATGAAGGCTATGGCGGAGCTAGAGTGCCTGCAGAAGAAGGTCGCTGGAGAAGACAAGGCTTTTCCACGTGTCACATGTCTGGTCGGCCTTTGTGACCTCATCGATCCTCTTCCTCCTCCTCCTCCTCATCATCATCAGCATCTTGTTTTGCCGGCTCTGCTTCGTGATGACGATCATCTTTATACCTTTAATGATCTTCATAATGATGATGATGATGATGATAGGCCATGGTTGAAGACGAGAGTGAGTTATGAGGGCAAGCAATGGTGGACTGTAGGCACGCTGGATGTCAATCTTGGCATAAGACTGCCGGGTGAAGAGCTGATTGGCGATTTTCCTAAAGGGGATGCAGAAGCTGCCAAAACGAGGAGGGCATACCTATCCAACGTGTGTGTGGCTGAATGGTTAAGGAGGAAAGGAGTGGGAGCTAATCTCATAGAGGCGGCGGGACACGTGGCACAAAACTGGGGTGTACACGTGTTGTATGTTCACGTCGTCAGAGACAACCACGCCGCTCGATCGCTCTACCATCGCTGCGGCTTTGCCCTGGAGAAAGAGGAGAGTGCTGCCGTGGCCCGCTTGTTGGACAGGCCGCCACGTCTGCTTCTCCGGAAGATCCTCCCCTCCTTGTCATCGGCCATGAGGGCATACTCGCACTAGGACTTTTTTTCAATTTCTCTTTCGACGAAATTGCGGTCAGATGCATCCACTCGTGGCCGCAAAAACGGTCAGATCCATCCATCCATCCATCCAAGGGAAGTCCTACTGTGAGCATGGCCTGAGACGACAATTTCACTTTTTTTTTTTTTTTTTTTCACATTTGTGTATAACAGCCTCTGCTTCCTAGGTTTTTTTTTTTTTTTTTTTTTTTTTTTAATAATGACAACCTCAATTTTCATTCAAATTTCATTACGTATAAATATATAGACCCCTCTTCCGAGGCTTACCTTTGTGCAGAACAACCCCTTCAGTCAGTGTACAGACAAATGTACGATAGTGAAAAAAGCGCCGACCCCTTCATTGTTCTTAGAAGGGGTCAGATAATTTGGATCCGATTTGGATCCGATTAGGTAGAATGGTAGAAGGGGTAAGTGATTACATAAGTAGGCTAGCTATACCACCCCCCTTAGTGGGGAAAAAAAAAAAAAAAAAAAGATAGGAGCGCTGGCCTTTTCATTGTTCTTGACACTGCGGCAGCAGCCCCGGCTTTGCTTGGCCGGGGGCCAAGTCCCAATAGCAGCGTGGAGTTTCCTCAACGCTTGAATCTGGATGGGCTTGTGGAGATGTGCAGAAATGGCTTATCTCCACAAACACGGCCAGATTCAGGCGTTGAGGAAACTCAACGCTGCTAATAGTGGTACGTGGCCCTGGAGAACCGTGCTCAGCTTGGGAACTGCGGCGAACGTTGTGAGGGACGCTGGGCCCGTTTCCCAGCATAATAAAAGTCTGAAAAAAAAAAAAAAAAAAAAAAGAGCAACCTCTTCAGGATTTTTCTTCTTCTTCTTTTTTTTTTTTTTCCCCATTATAAACCCGGGAAACGGGCCGGGGATCCCTCACATGAATGTGGCAGCCAAACTGGGCTGGGAAAAGCCCTCCCGGCCAATCCCATCCCCCCCCAACTACATCCCTCCTTCCCACATTGAAGGCGCCCGTCTCAGCGCATCTGTCATAATCATAAACCCCAAGTTGGGAAAAAAGACCCAAAAAAATGTCAAGAAATTGCTATCCCTTATTTACATGCAGCAAATACTACAGCGACTGAGACTACTGTCTGAGATTACTGAATCAACATTCAAGGCAGGTGAGATTCGTAATATGAGGACAATATCTAGTACTGTATCTACAACAACAATGACCAGTAATCAGCTCCAAAATTGTCTTCGCAATGTAAGGTGATGCATCCGTCAAAACGTCAACCCAAACTATCTAATACCCCCCCCCAAATCTTCACCACTACAAAAAGAAATCAGCAAAGCCCAAGCATGGAGGGGTAGCAGCATACAGGGGGGGGTAACTGTCAACAGTCCTACACAAGTTCCCCAACGTCAAAACCACTTCACTGTTTGTGCTGGAAAACCTTTTTTTGGGACATTCCCCATCTGCCAAAAATTGCAACCCTTGGATCAAATGGGGGGAATGGGAACGCAGTCCGATGAAGCGCTGCACTACCAGGCGTACTCGCTGTCCGGAGACGGCAGCGCTCTGAGTGGGGCGGAACGATGTCGAAGATACACGGCGTACTCGCTGTCCGGAGACGGCAGCGTGGGGTGGAACGATGTCTTCTTCGACGATCCCTAGGTTCGGCCATCGCCCTCAGCTCCGACAAGGGGCGGTGTCTCCCTGTGGCCAGGGAGCAGGGGGATTCCAACTCCTACAACAGAATCTACAAGAGTCAAGTAACAAGTGCAGTGTGAACACGACGAAGGGAGAGAGAGTCTAGTACGGGACAGCGGGCACATCCAACAGCAGCACCTCTGGAGAAGCACGTGAGAACTACTATTGACTATCTCGACTGGGAGCGTGAAGACCTGAAGCTCGACGGGCGGCGGCGCCACCAATGGGAGTGGGAGTTCCTCTGGTGGTGGTGGGAGCGTCTCCGTTGGAATCAAGGGCTCTGAGCATTAACCAAGCCACTCTCTAGCACGAAATATTTAGAGTGCATTAACCTAGCCATAATTTTCGCTAAATACTCCTTATGAGTGACTTACTTCATGAGGGTCCTACACCATAATATTTGGAAATACTTTCCCCCTCTTTCAAGCTCTTCTTGCTATGTGCTTTGGTGTCACTGGCAGTTATTCCGTATCTGGGCATATGTTTCGTTTGGTGCGCTCTTCCTTTGTTATTCTTATATGCAAACCCTCGTGTAGTGCAGTATTTTACTCATAATCTGCATTGGGTCGTAAGGTTGGATTCAGGCAACCGTCCATCCCTATTCCCATATCTGAGCCCTCGTATAACATAGTAATTCCAAAATTTGCTCGTAACCTAGGCTGGTAGCCGGGCCGCCCGGGTCCCGGGTGGCAGCCCGTGCAAGGACCAGGGAAGTTCCCAGCAAAAAAAAAAAAAAAAAAAAAAAAAAAAAAACCGAAAACAAACTATGTTATGCAGAAAAATAGACTGAACAATTTTTGGCTCAGGGTCACATCGAAATTTTTCACGAAATTTAGAATAAAAAATAAAAGTTAGAATTTTTTTTCTTTTTTCTTTTTTTTTCTTTTTTTTTTGGCCCGGCCGGGCAAGTGACCCCGGGCCACTCTGGTAGCCTAGCTCGTAATGTTTATATCACCTAATCTCAACTAATCTAGAGGCTATTTCAAGGAATCTTCACTGCGGGTTCTCGGCTTCAGTTTTGGTTGGTAAATGTGGAAGGTTGGGGGGTTGTTCGTAGAAGGCAAAGGAACTATTGGAGGTGGTGGGAGACCTAATGGTTGTGGGAATGTTGCTGACCTACTAGTGCACGACTGAATAGCATTTAGCTGTCAAGAGAGCAAACTTGGGCTGTACCCATTGAGATCTAGGGTGCCTGGAAGATGGCAGTTCCTACAGAGGTCCAAGGGTGCAAGGTGGGAACTCGTCACGGCAACCCAGGCTCCCCACATCTACTAGCTGCTCTGTCGGGCCAGTATTGGTGCTGTCTTCCTTCGGTGGAAATTACTTGGTCTGCTCGTTGGGCGAATCCTTTTCTGGAACTTTCCAGATTCGTCTCTAGTTCACAATCTGTTATTTATTTATTTTTTTTTTTTTTTTTTTTTTTTTTTTTTAAACACAATTTATTACCAATTCATTAAACCGAATCGAGGCCGGGGACCTCACAATTCAACCTGGAGTTATCCCGGCAGCATCAGCCGGTTTAGCTTATCTTCGTAGGCACCTCAGCTACTTCCATGCTTTTAGAAATCAATGCACCAGACCAAACTTAAATCCACATACTTCAAAACTTTGTTGCCAGTCGCACTACTCATATTCCTGTCACAACTTACAGGAATTGATCCTACTTACAGTACTCCCAGACCTTAGCCGTTCTATGCCAACTATCCTACCTGCTGTCACACAAAGGGCAGGCCTACTATTGGCCTGCAAGCAGCCTATCTGCGGCTGCTTGGAACTCGCGTTCCTTCTAAGATGCCACTCTACCACCCTCCTCCCACTTGCTGCCTCCTGCGGCAGAAACCTATTCCTAAGTGGGGAACCGAGTGCCCTGGTTCCCCTCCCTACTCTAACGAACTGTCAGCACTAGATTGTTAACTCAACTCCACGGACTGCTCTTCCACTCAGACCTCCTCCACTGAGTTCCCTCCCAGGGGGGAGACCCACGTTAACCCCACTCCTCCCCCAACCGCCTGGTGCTATTGACTGAGCGGCCAGTCCACCCTGACTGCCAATCTACTGCTTGCCGCCTGGGAACACAGGGGACCCAGGTTAACCCCCCATGCCAACTGTCTGATCTTTCACCCAAGGGGAAAGGACCAGGCCCTTTATTCTGTGTACACCTGCCAACTGATGATTAATTGTCCATGTGTTCAGGAACCAGCGAAGCTGTCTGCTACTCCCTTGTCCAGCCTTGGCCCTCTTTCTCCAATCCACCTTAATCGCCTCCCTCAAACCTCTCCTCACCTCCCTTTTAATCTCCAAGTCAGACAGTGGCCTGTTTTCAAACCTTGCTCTGTTCCTGTCCTTCCAAATAATCTCACAGAGCAGGCCCCTCACCACCTGGGCAACATATCCCCAGCCCCGTTGTGCATTTCTGTCGGTAAGAAGCCGAGTAACACCCACTTTTCTTCCCAAACCACTCTTGGATCTCCGAATCGTTCCCAGTGATGATTCCACCGTTTGCAAATTCTACGAGAGGCTAGTTTGTTCATCAGGGTTTAGTCATACCAAGACTATTATAATTTCAAATGGCAGTTTTGCCTTTTTCTGGCCATCTGCATAGGCTGGACTCATAGGCTTGCTACAGATTTTTCGAACATGGTTTTTGAATTAGTGACAGGGTGCTGTCAATTTAGACACTTAAGATTACAATCCCGTAGGGTAGCTGGTTTCTCAGCTTTGGTGCTTCACGCTCGGAAATGCATTTGAAATCGTTTTAGGTTGCTGGACAGATATTCATACCTTTTTACTGCGCCTCAGGGGAAATTTTTTGAGAAGCTTCTTTTGAGATAACAGAGTGAGAAAATGGGACACTGGACCCGGTTTCCAGTTCTGCCGAAGCTGGGTAATGACCCCACTATGTTCATCCGGGTTGAATTGTGAGGTCCCCAACCTCTTCTGAACTTCTGTTATTTGTAATAAAGGTGACCAACTTCTCAAAAAAAAAAAAAAAAAAAAAAAAATTGCAACCTTTCATGCTGTATTTAACTTCCGCCCTGCCCTGCCCTGACCATCGGGGGTGTCAGCTGTTCCCCCCTTGGGGGGGGTGTCAGCTGGTCTCCCCCCCTTGGGACTGCGGAAGTTCCAAGGTTCCACAATGTCCAGACAATAAGCCCAGGGGGGAGGGCCCACTAGCAAGAGTATTGGATTGAATGCGTGAGTTTGGACTTGTTTGAGGACAGATGCAGAAAACCCTGACTGATCTGCTTTTTTCTGCATCTCCGCCAAGAGCCTCTCCAGATTCAGGTTCTTAATTCGATCCACTTTGCTAGTGGGACCTAGCCCCAGCTCAAGTGGCCAAAGAATGCCTGCCCTGCCCCCTTCGGACTGCTGAAGTTCAAAGTTTCCGCATTGT